TAGGTGTAGAGCAGGCAGGGCCGGTGTAAGAAAGAGGCCAGGTAGGCTGTAACATAGCAGGCAGACAGGTTTATGATATAAAGACAGGCAGGTGTTAAACTAGAGGCTGGCAGTGTGATAAGATAGAGGCAAGGACCAGGTGTAAGAAAGGACAGGTAGGTTACATAGAGGCAGACAGGTATAAGATTAGAGGCAGGCAGGTGTAATGATAGAAGGCAGACTAAGTAGTAAGAAGAGGTAGGCAGATGTAAGATAGAGACAAGAGGCAGACAGGTGTAGGATAGAGGCAGGCAGGTGTAAGAAAGAGGCAGGTAGGTGTAACATAGAGGCAGACAGGTATATGATAGAGACAGGCAGGTGTAAGATAGAGGCAGACAGTAGTAAGATAGAGGCAGACAGGTGTAAGATAGAGACAAGCAGGTGTAAGATAAAGGCAGGCAGGTGTAAGATAGAGGCAGAGCTCTATCTTACACCTGAGGCAGGTGTAAGATAGAGGCAGGCAGGTGTAAGATAGAGGCAGAGAGGTGTAAGATAGAGGCAGACAGGTGTAAGATAGAGGCAGGCAGGTGTAAGATAGAGGCAGGCAGGTGTAAGATAGAGGCAGGCAGGTGTAAGATAGAGGCAGGCAGGTGTAAGATAGAGGCAGACACTAGTAAGATAGAGGTAGGCAGGTGTAAGATAGAGGTAGGCAAGTGTAAGATAGAGGCAGGCAGGTGTAAGATTTAGGCAGATATGTGTAAGATAGAGGCAGACAGGTGTAAAATAGAGACAGACACATGTAAGATAAAAGTACACCGATATAAAGGTTTAAGTGTAATTGCGGAGCCGCGTGCATACATAAGCGCCATAACCCTAATCCTAACGCTAAAGCTTGCTTAACGCAATTCCTAACCTAATTCATTCCCGCCATATACCTACCTGGGTCCTAAAGTATAGGATTGGGATAGGAAGTAGTAAATATATAAGTACATAAAGAAAAGCTATAGCCACACACGCGTAAAGTAGAGACAATTCATTACAATCAATGTAGAATGACGCAGGTGTAAGCATGGATTCGCTTTTCTTTAATATTCTTATATGTTGCCACGGTGCTTTAGTCATCTTTCCCGGACTACTATCACGCACCAAATGCCTCATTTGACTCCTCAACAAAGTCAGATCCAGTGATCGACAGAGACCCTGCGGGGAAGGGAAGCAGCCCTACGAAGGAGAGGAAAAAAGATAACAGTAAACCAGACATGGAGAAGAAACCGACTGGCAAAGCCACAACCAAGACGCCAGAACCGAGGCCCATTTTGGCGCCCACTGAGATTCAGGTGAGGACGAAACTACCGGTAGGCGGCGCTTGCTGCCTCAAAGTAGTGTCTGTGTGTTTCTGTACCGCCACGTGCTTGCGTCCTATCCGTGTGGCATTGTGTACCAGTGTCGCCTCCTACCGGTAATCAGTGTCTCTCTGTATCTCAACCACCGTGGCTCAGAATGTCAGAGAAATGTGGCCTGTATCTGCGTAAACACTTTACATAGCCTGCACGGTCATGATGAGCAAGCATCAACTGACCCAGAAGACGCACTGCGACGCGTGGCTCGATATTTTCCGAGGCGTTCTGTCGTGTTGTGTTATGAGCTCACGAGAGGGCGCCTCCTACTGTAAAGCGGTGTCTGCGTGTCCGCGCGCCACCGCGTGGTCGTGTCTAAGTAGTGTTGCCGACGTCCCCCCCACGCTTGCCGTGCATTGGTCATCGGTGGGACACACAGGCGGAGCTATAGCTAGCGGGGGTCACGGGGGCTCTTCATCCCTCAAAGAAGTGGAGATTACGTTACATAGGCAATGGCGAATTGCTCACGGTCACCTGCCCCGAACATAACCCACACGTGGCTTCGTCCTACACACTAGGCAAAATAAGTGCGCTCTGCCCTTGACAGGAGGTGGAATACACGGTCCTTTATATTCTGTATCGTTGGATACACGGTCCTGTATCGTTGCTGTATCGTAGGATACACGGTCCTGTAATCTGTATATTCTGTATCGTAGGATACACGGTCCCTTATATTCTGTATCGTTGTATACACGGTCCCGTATATTCTGTATCGTTGTATACACGGTCCTGTATATTCTGTATCGTTGTATACACGGTCCTGTATATTCTGTATCGTTGTATAAACGGTCCTATATATTCTGTATCGTTGTATACACGGTCCTGTATATTCTGTATCGTTGTATACACGGTCCTGTATATTCTGTATCGTTGTATACACGGTCCTGTATATTCTGTATCGTTGTATACACGGTCCTGTATATTCTGTATCGTTGTATACATGGTCTTGTATATTCTGTATCGTTGTATACACGGTCCTGTATATTCTGTATCGTTGTATACACGGTCCCGTATATTCTGTATCGTTGTTTACACGGTCCTGCATATGTATACAACGATACAGAATATACAGGACCGTGTATACAACGATACAGAATATACAGGACCGTGTATACAACGATACAGAACGGTCCTGTAATCTACAGGACCGTGTATACAACGATACAGAATATACATATTCTGTATCGTTGTATACACGGTCCTGTATATTCTGTATCGTTGTATACACGGTCCTGTATATTCTGTATCGTTGTATACACGGTCCTGTAATCTGTATATTCTGCATCGTTGTATACACGGTCCTGTATATTCTGTATCGTTGTATACACGGTCCTGTATATTCTGTATCGTTGTATACACGGT